CAGGATGACTGTTTCGAAACAGCACGGGACCACAAACCCTGCATTCTCAGTGCATTGCTATCGCGCAATGTGTTCCAAAAGATAATATTGAAAACTAATGATTAATTGGACTCCTCCCGGAGCCCCGTCGCGAGTAGGGGTATGGAAATAGATGGGGTAACATGCAATGGAGCAAAGCAACCTTGGAAAAAAGGTTGCAATTCCGCAAATGCTCGGGTGATCGGTGCAAACATTACAAACGAGCTAAGACCCCATATCTCCTGAGCACCATTGAACGTCCAAGAGCTGTAAATCTATCTGCTGTTTTTGTTTTCTTGAACGAATCTCTTTTGTCACGATATACAATGGTTACTAAACTGTTCGGTTTCGCCGCCGGGCTGCTTGCGCTAAGCGGGCTTGCCAACGCCCATGGCTCGCATTCAAATGACGAAGCTCCCTCAGATGATTGGGCCACTAGACACATGATAGGTAAGACACGGCGGTAATGCCTCAATGGAAAAGTTGACGTTACTAAAGTTGTAACATCTAGAGGAGCACCATATTGGATCTTTTGACCCAACCTCATTCTTCATCCTGCACGATTACGATTCCTCAGGGACATGGACACACGACGAAGTCCGCAAGACATACGGCCTCAACGACGAATCCAATGCTGCTGTCAGTGAAGACAAGAAGCAAGATGCCGTGCGCACAGTCTTTGAGCTATTTGACTCTGGAAACACCGGGTTTATTGACCGGGAGGACTGGCTGGCCGGACTCGCTGCAGGTAAACGGCTGCCCGATCTCGGTTACGGCCCCGGACACCATGGTGACCTTGAGTATGAATACGAGATCCATCACTTTGAGAAGTACCACGGCGATGATGCGACGGAGGAGGACTTGACTCACCCCGAGGATATTGAGCATTTCCGAAAGCATGATGAGGAGGAGGATGCTGCAATTGCCCTCGAAAAGCTGGAGCAGATCCAAGTTGTCGTTGGCAATATTCCTCAGAAATTCCGCCGGAATTTTTAGACTATTGAGCTCACAGTTCCAATGCTTCTTTTTCTATGTACATACGCGCTTTTACATATCGGGTTTCGTCGATTTGAGTCTCGTAGTTCATCTAACATATGCCCCCTCCCCTTTAGGATATTTTAGTATCTTTCTGCATATAACACTTCCAATATGAGATTTATGAGAAGCTAAAGCAGCTATTCAAGACGTTGGACTTGGAAGCAGCGGATGTAACGATAAATAGCCAGCCATAAAATGAGAAATGATAACTGAAACACCGGGGATAGTATTGAGACGCTAAAAGCTCAAAAAGAGAGGGATGATTCATGGCAAAAGGCGACAGTCAGCGCCAATACCAAACATGGAAACAATGGAAAAGAGGTCATGGGAAAACAAGGAATTGCTAAGAGCATAATTATCCCTTTATACTTTAATTTGTCTTCCAAGAGCTTGGCTCTCAGTACTCCGTAGTGTAGCCCAGCCTATCAGTTGAATCGATAACTCTGCAGCATAAGAGTTAGCATTGAACTTAGCCGGTCTAGCTTGAGAAGGGTTTTCAAACTTACGAGTATTGTTTCGTCAGAGTCCCTTCTCCGCCCTTCGACAGATCAATATTGAACACGTAGAAGTTGCCATCACTAGTGACAACCATGACTTGGGGAGTGTTGCTACTCATGGCAACCACACTCCTCAACGGGCCGGGGCCTGCGTTCCCACCAGTGCCGGAGTTCGACCGCGGCAATTTGATCCAAGCAAAGTCACGCGCTGGCTCCCACATCTCACTGACTCCCTTGGGAAGATATCCGCCCATTCTGGCGGCAACTGCGCCACCGACGTTTTGAGAGGTCCGACGAAGCATCCCCATCAAAGTGCCGTTGTGCTTCCGCAAGGAAGAATCCGAGCCAGCATCGCCGCCGGTCTCGTCCTCCTCGGGTGAATATCCATAGGTATTTGGCGGAGATCCATGGTCCCGAGCTGGAGGAGAATGCGAGGAAGATCCATCTGACAGTGGTCCTTGTTGGGTCAACTTGAAGATGTGGACGGTCTCTGTGGACGAAGAGACACATAAGAGTGTGGATGTGGTGTTGAAGGACATGCTGTAGATTCTTGACGGCATGGAGCCACGTCGGAATTGGTACAGCTTGTGGCCATCTGGAACTGAGAAAATTCGGATGATGGTTCCTTTATCTGAGGCAGTAGCAAGTAAAGTGCCATCGCTATTCAGCGCGATGAGTGCCAGAGGAGAGCGATGGGCTTCGATAACGTTGATAGCTTCTAGCTTTACAGCATCAAATATTAGAACATCTCCAGTCGTAGGAGATACATGGGTTGTTCCAGGGGGCGCATGCGCTGGTGTGCTTGCACCTGCAGGGGCTTTTTGCGGAAGAGGGTATGCCATGTAACAATTCTCTGAAGATGGCGCAAGGGCACATATTGCTGTTGATTTGTCAGAACTGGGCATAAAGCTGCTTAAAAAGAAGAAAAGAAAAACAGGCGCAAGAGCTCTGTACCGTTAGGATTTGGTGAAGTATCGATGGTAGATAGAAGCTTCATGGTCTGGATATCATAAAGATAGATCTGATCCTCCAGGACAATAACAAGTCGCTTGCGGTTCAGTTTCACTGCGAGAACTGTTGTTGGAAATGTTAATTCACATATTGTGCATTGTCTCTATTCCAAATATTAGTTCAACATCTGCATGAAGTGTGAATCCAAATGATTTGAGATAGGTACCTTGGTGTTTTGAATCTGCAAGCGTCTGGGTGATAGGATAAGAGCTACAAGAGAGGTTGAGAATAGCATCTCAATGACAGCAATATTCCCCTCTTTAGCTTCATAGCTCTTGGCAAATGGTTCAGTTGTGAAGATCTGAAACCCCTTAGATGTTGCTATCAATGCGGTCAATGGATGTCCAACGATAAAACAGAAAGAAACAATTCCGGCGATAGACTCACCCACAGCCAGGTAGCTATAGTCCTGGTTAAATGTCACGAAATTCATGGCCATTTTTGGAAAGGTTCAGGATTGTAAATGAAATCAATGAGATTGATACAAGGCAACTCTCGGAGGTCGGAGATACCCCGCTTAGGGCGAGATTGAGAGGGAGCCGAACCAGCAACTCTTTGCCTGTCACTGGCCACTGCGTAACATATCTTGGACTTAGAACAATACGATATGCTTCAAAGGCGAGGATGTGAAGAAGAAAGGATATGATCTCCGCGAGGTCTTTGGTCGTCGAGGTTTGCGCTTGGGCCACACCTTGATTGCCCACCGCCTACGGATTTCTCTTATCAACAATCGCCTGTTCGTTTTGTTTTACTTCACTCTCTACCTATATACTTGATTTTCTCTGCCACTTCATGGCCTTCCCTTCCCGCTTTAGTGCTCAGGCCTTGCTGCTTTTGCTCACTGAGTACACCTAGGCACCCGTGGACGCCCCTGAGTATTACAATCACAAAGCTCGCTCACTGAGCCTCACCTGAGCGCCCTGATTTGCTCACTGAGCAGCCTGATTCGCTTACTGAGCTGAGCAAAATGCGGGAGCAGCTAAGTCAAGCTCACCTCAATAAAATTTACCGTGCTAGCCCCATCCAAATACAGTTGTTCACCAGAACTCTTGACCGTTGTGCCCTCGATGAAAGGCTAGCGTCATCAATTTGTTGGTCGATCCTGGTAGTTTCGCCTCCAGCTGGAAGGCAAATTGATAATGGGGCCACATTTGTTGGGTTTACTACCCCTTTCACGCAAGCGAGCTTAATCCGTGGCGCCCGTTTATCTTCATCAATTACCAGACATCGCCATAGAACAATAGCTATAAGATACCTAATACTTTCACGAACCTAGTAATATTACTTTTTGAGATGAGATTTATATGGTACAATAAAACTCCTTCAGAAATTCGGAAGGTCGAGCATCTGTAATTTCAGAGTTAGATAAAACAGATATGATCCTGTATGATCGTATGGTGCCGTTGCGGCTTATACTCCTTTCGGCCAACCACACCATGTATTACTTATTCATGGAGAGGCCATCTAACAAATATTGACTTATGAAACTGTCCTGATGAATCTTGCTCCCGGGGGCTTTTCAGGCTTTTTATATGTACATGTCACACATAAGTGCTGGTCCACAGGAACCTAGGATCAAGGGCATTTTTTCTTCTTGCTCCTAGGAACGTTCAAACTTTGCACGTACTATCAGAGATCCAGTGTATATAGTAGCTTACGTATTTGGTCGCTGACCAAACATTGTGCCTCTTTGGCCAGCTGGCGTAGACGTCTCGTTTATCCCAGAGTTTGACGACCTGGTTTCCTTATCCTAGGGGAAACGTTTCACGTAGGCTGATGAGAACGCCTCTTCTTAGAAGCCGAAGGAAAATGATCCCTTTGATTCGGGTGAATATTGTTCGGCAATACAATGGTATGCTGCAAAATATTGCTGTGTCCAAGAGGGGATGCTACTATATACAAGAATAAATCCAGCTATTCAAAGACTTTGGGGACCTATGCCTCACCAGAATTGCTCGTTATAGCGTAGCTCAACCGTGCCCTTTCCTTTCTGAGAAGCTACCGCTTTGCTGCAACGTTGAGAGATGTTGGATATGTCTATGTTTTGCAAGTATCAGAGCTACTGTATCAGAAAAGGCTCTTTTCAAGAAGACTCAAGAAATATACAACTCGACGCAGTAGCTAGAACATTGGCTGGCCATTCGATTCAAACTGACTATCATTTCCATGTCATGCTGATATTCTTAAAGGCTCTGGGCCCTGGGACGTCTGCCTTTTATATAATATGTTTATTACCAAATTGGGTACCTACGGGTTGGGTTGGGTTAGGTCGAGAAGCCTAGTTGCGGCCGTCCGCCCTCCGAAAGCATATCTCAGTGATATAGGCCAATAGCGAAAATAAACTACCCTTATTTTGGCAGTCATGTGGAGCTAAAGGCCCTTGCATCCAATACTTTGCATGTTTCTTGGGGATCATTGGCATATGTGGTTATTTTAATGGCATTCGCTACCTCCCAGCCAATAGCTGCACCTGCAGGTAAACCCCCGTCTCACTTTCAATCCCGCCCATCACAAGGCTATTTTTAATCAATTACAGCCGAGGTTGCAGACTTGGAGACGCGCGCCGACTATTACGTTGATATCCAAGTATACCACGGCTACAACTACGAGGGTGGCTGCTATAGCGAATGCAATTGGCCCGGTGAGGGTTACGGTATCACAAACGAATATCGGAAAAATGCCGGCTCGTTCAAAATTGGGACCAAGGGTTATAACTGCCAGATTGGATCGTGAGTTACTACCTAGGTCTGCTAAACATCGGAGCTAATATATGTCAAGACCCGAGAGCACGGAGCCAGTGGACTACCCTGGGACCAAGAGATTGAAGGGTGGATGGATCAATAACATTGAAGGATATCAGTGCAACAAAATCCATCACAAATGACAGATACTGCCCAGGGGCTTGGAGGTTACGTCAACTGGCGAGGAAATGCTATTGGTAGATGAGTTGGCATAAATGGTGATTGAAACCCCATAGTGAGATAGGCCTCGTTGTCGTATTTGGATTCCTTAACTTGTGAATGACCGTCATAAGAAGTAAATGACCTATATCGATGCCGACCACTGTGAGCTTGTTCGGCAAATTAACACTTATCAGACAAGAGAACCACCCCTTTTTAATGTTTATTCTTTGTTTAAAGAGAGCCGTTGATGCCCACCATTCTCAGCATGTGGTGACTGGCTGCCCAATGAAGAAATCAAGAAGGTTGATAATGTTAATTTTGGTTAACACATGTGAGGTACTTCCGCCAGTTTGACTGGATAATGTAGTCACATCCAGTCAGTCATATCAGTCAAAAAGTGAGCCCCTAGCTCGCCAGCCACAGAAAGTGTCGTCGAAGCCTAATATTTCAACACCCGCAGCCTAGTACCTGAGAAAATGTAAGGATCACCCGAGTTCCCTGGGCATTGATCAAATCTGCCGCGTGTCACCAATAAGGACTGAACAGTTCTCAAAAATTTCAATCTAGACCCGTGTGCCAGACTTGGAAGGAATACCTCGCAAGCGTGAGGAAATCAACGTACGGCAGCTACCTGCCTCACACGACAGAGTCCCTTATGCATGGACCACTGAAACAACCCTCAGTAGGTTGTTGTTCATGCCCGATCGAGGAAACATATGTCTTGAAGAAATTAGGCTTTTGGTCACCAAATTTCCCTTAACAGGTCAATACTATGTCCAAGCCAGATAGGCAGCAGTCGGGAGAGTCAACCCGCCTATACTTACCCAGGTTATCAAACACCTGAAGAATGTCCACGGGTGATTCGGGCCACAGCCAATATGCATAACTTCCTGTCCCGACCCAAACTCGATCACACTGTGGCTCCACTATGTGAAATGAACCCAGCTAGCAAACAGCCATGTAAGCTAGATATCCTAACTGGGCCTGTGATAGGCAACGTTCTGTGTCAAATCCAAGACAAGGAACAGCCTATTTTATTTCCACCCGATGATGTGCGGTTCCTACATTCCGACTAGCGCATGGGGTATCCGTATACCCGAATGCCGGCGCCGACTTGGTCGCATCTCCCCCTGGCACACACCAGTAATGTCCATGCCATCCCGCTCGGCAGATAGGACGTGTTCCTTGTTCCATACCCAGTAACAAGTAGAGTTTGTGGACACAGTCTTCACCAACCTGACTCAATGAGGTATATATCTAGTCATGATGTCTAGGATAGCGGAGATCTGCAGACCTGGTGTGAATCGAGGTAAGATCTGCAGAAATTTGCCCTATCGTTCAAATCAGCGTTTCGCCTGACACAGCCCACTTTTGTCTATGACTGTTGGCTTAGGAATTGCAGGAGATGGGTGACCAATGAGGGATGATATGGAAGGGTTCCCGAGGTCCTGTGTGGTTGAAATGTCAAGCGATGCCGAGGGAAAAGATAAGACGACTAAATTCCTGTTGTGCCACCTTAAGTCTTCGTGACCTGGGTATACCTGCCTACATATAGATACATAGGCTTGTTGTTAGGCACTGCCGTGATGGTGTTAAGTACCAGATTCAACTCTTGGGCATTAAGACATGAATATCACAAGATCAATTGTGTTGTTTCGGGACTGGCTATTGACAAGGTTAGGCACCTGTTTACTATTGGGCATATTATATCCAACGTTTTGAATCCCCCCCCCCCCTCGAGTGGATCGCAGTGGCGATCCGGGGTTAGTCCCAACCCCGTATAGGATATATTGAATATATGTACTTTTATGCGATACCTCGAGGTGAGAGTATAGAGTATGTGGGTTGGAACCCTTTTTTTTTTTCCTTCATTCCTAAAATATATATAAGTATTGGAGTGTTGAAAATCGAGATTTGTTAGTGATATATATAAAATATATATATATATTTCCTAGACTTTATCGGCAAATACCTTCCTGACCTATCAAACTAAAACTAAAATATACGTTATGATATATTCTCCCGTAGATTCCCTTTTTGGATTGACAATTTGACTTTTTATGTTTCCATGGACACGAAATGGCTCGACCTTCGGGCTTTCTCATCCGATGTGGATCCTGATACCCTCTCGAGCGGGGTGATAAGTTCTTTGTTCCCCCAATTACTGGAAATTTGAGGCGTCAACCAAGCAGAATTGGAGAACGGCCTTAGTAAACCCCCTCCCCAGACGCACAGACGGCTGTAATCCGGGTCGAGAACGATATCAAGGAATCTCGTCGTCATCGGTGCCTGCCCTATTGAATGATTGGCCACATCAAATATTATTTGCCCGTGGTCGCCTTTTTTTTTCGGGCCCGGTAGGTTTTTGAGGGGCAGATAAACCCGATAGGAAAGTGGTCAGAATCCCGGTCCTTGAGGGGGGGAATGTCATTCAGAATCTGTATCTAATGTAAACATCATACATCAAATTATACAAGGTTAGGCGGATAATATCCAGACCCGCGGTGGAGCGTGTGGATACAGATAGAATTAGGGGGGACCATCGTGGGGATCATGACGATGATAGTCAGTGATGATGATGAGAAGACGATATATCAGTAAACTGCTAGTAAATTGCCATACATGTAATGTTACCAAATGTATAAACAATAGAATTCACTTGGGTACATAATGTACAATGTACATGTACACTTGCTGTCAGATCTTGTCCCACATTATCTTCCCCCTCCTTCAATTGCTCTCCACTGCACTTCTCTTTTCTCCCCTTGTCATTCTACTTTGATGCATTTCTTTTTATCTTAAGCCTCTCCCTCCTAACTTGACTTTTATCTTTCCATTTTTCACCCCTTGCCTTATCTCTGGTATTGTATGATCCCCCTCCCTACCCCTTTTGACCTCGGATCCTCCTTATTTACTTTCTATGCTTCGCAACTGTTCAAGTTCACTACACTCGCCCACGCTCGCGACGCGCTTAAAGAAATTCTGCTAACAACTGCCGCATAGTTGTATTGGTGATCACTCGCTCGTCAGATTCCTATTGCTTTCGGCACTCTTCACCACATCTCGACTACGAAGGATGTAACAGTCTTATGATTCTAATCTCAAAAGTGTCGCAATTGCAAGTGACATTACCATTTTCATCTCAATATTACACCCCCTTTTCAATCAACGCGTCTTGTTAGTCGTCATGGCCACTGTGCTAGTTCAGCAGCAGGCACTGCACCACTCGACCCCTCCTCCCTCTCCTATTCCCTCAGCCTTGACCGTAAACCGACGATCAAGTCCTACCCCGAGCAGACATATTCCAGTATGTCCCACCGGACCTATTCCAACATCCCAGCCTACCTCCCTGTCCCGGCCCAGCGAGCAGCCTTCCTCGCTATTGTCTCCTCCAGATGAGAAGATGCGCATTGGACGACCGTCATCCCCCGCTGTGTATGCTATCGACGGACCGAAATTGGCAGCTGCAATCGCTCATCAAGCATCGCAACCTTTACCCGACGCATCTTTGATGTTTCCTTGGCTCCATGGACTGCATCGAGACAACCATCTGCAGCTTGGATTCTTTTCAAGTCGCAAGCGACATGCTCGTCACACTCCAAAATGCTGGCGAGGCCTCATGGTGGTAAAGCTTGGAGGTGACTTGAGCAAGTCACGCATCAAGGGCGCAGTAAGCGCCCACGAGGTGCTGGCACCCTCATCCCACTTCTTGATGGCTGATCCTCCCGAGGGGTTCTCCGTCCGCAATTTCCAAATACAAACTGCCAAGCTGGCTGCGATGTCGGATATTGTTATTTATGCTGAAGATGATGATAGTCATAGCGGACTTGTTGAGCTAGCCAATCAGTTTGCCAAGGCGCAGCGGTTATGGCGAACGAAAATGGATCCTCTGGAGGAGCGACCGACGTACAACACCTTCATTCTTACCGGTTCGTTATTTTACCTTATCCCCCCATTCATGGACGGTCAATTGATATACTTCACCAGACAAATTCTCCAGCATTGCGGACAAACACCCAGAGATCATTGCCACCGATGTAAACGGCCATCCGACAGGCCAAACTATGGATTTCGGTAACTTCAAACGAACCTTGGCGGGCCAAAAGTTTATGCTAACAAATTGGTAGTCCAATGGGAGCGACTGGAAATGTCAACAATGTCCCGGGCATCCGAGATTTCGTCCAATGTTTGGCTCGGGTGTACCCCGGATTACTTCCATACCGGAGCTCTTGAGTCACCAAAGGAAGAGGGCTATGACCTGTTGATCGAAACATGCGACATGGCCAACATCCCTGGTCCACGGTTCCTTGCCATGCTCGACAAACAGATAGAGAGTGGTCAACAGCGCTTGGAGTTCCCTTCATCGGGATCTCTTCTGCTTCCATCGGGGAATACCCGAGAGATTGAGGACATTGTCAACACCATCAGGTGGATCTACTATCTCGCACACCCAGAAAGTTCATCAGAAGAGCTCGAAACTGACGGAGACGTCGTAATGACGAAATCGAGTGGGAAACCCCGCAAGATTCTCATCCACTGTGCGGACGGTTACACCGAAAGCTCGCTGTTGGCAGTGGCGTACTTCATGTTTGCAGAAGGCGTGCCTGCCCATGAAGCTTGGCTCCGGCTGCATTGCGATAAGAAACGCAACTTCTTTGCCTATCCGACAGATGTGGCTTTCCTATGCCACATTCAAGGGCGCCTCTTGCAGGAAAGCCCCGCGACTCAGTCGACGGATCTCTCGGAAATCGGGGATCCCCATTGGTTTCACAACATGGACGGCTCCTTCCCCAGCCGTGTCCTGCCATATCTATATCTGGGCAATCTGAATCACGCCAATAACCCGGAACTTCTGTGGGAGCTTGGGATCAAGCGTGTGCTTAGTATTGGCGAGGCTGTCAATTGGACAGATACGGACCGCGCCAACTGGGGACCTGATAATTTGATGTACATCGACAATGTCCAAGACAATGGCATTGAT